ATGTGTCTGTGTCACCATATGTGTCTGTGTCAACGATGTGTCTGTGTCAACTATGTGTCTGGTCAACTGTGCTGTGTCAACGATGTGTCTGTGTCAACTATGTGTCTGTGTCAACCTGTGTCAACTATGTCTGTGTCAACTATATGTGTCTGTGTCAACGATGTGTTTGTGTCAACTACTGAGTCTGTGTCAACTATGTGTCTGTGTCAACTATGTGTTCAGTGTCAACTGGCGTTCCTGTGTCAACTATGTGTCTGCATCAACTATGTGCTGTGTCAACTATGTGTCTGTGTCAACTATGTGTCTGTGTCAACTATGTGTCTGTGTCAAATGTGTCTGTGTCAACGATGTGTCTGTGTCAACTTGTGTCTGTGTCAACTATGTGTCTGTGTCAACTATGTGTCTGTGTCAACTATGTGTTTATCAACTATGTGTCTGTGTCAACTATGTGTCTGCGTCAACTATGTGTCTGTGTCAACCATGTGTTCGCGTCAATTGCGCGTGTCTGTGCTCAACTATGTGTCTGTGTCAATTATGTGTCTGGTCGGCCACATACTACCTACGGTCTCCATATTTTTTAATAAATCACTGTTGTTATTCTATAAACTCACAAGTCTTCCAACAAAAACAATAATATAATACACAAGAGAATGTTAACAGCCAGTTCCTTAGTGAAGAATTAAAGAAATGGTAAGACATCATTAACGGTAAAGAACTCAGAGTTTTACCAGGGTGGGTCGTTGTTGTGGTCGCTGTAAGGGCGGGTTCATTACCCGCTGTCACTCATCGGCTGGACAGTGACAGTGTAGTCAGTACGCTGAAGACCTGTGATGGTATACTTAGTGTTGTCACCACCGTCCACAGTGTGAGTCCTGCCGTTATCACGGGAGTCCAGCTGATGATGTAGGAGGTCGCATAGGGTACCGCAACCACGAGGCATTTATAAAGTTCGTTCTCGCTAACAGCATCAGGTCTGAATATATCTGTTGAAGAAAGACCATAACACCAGAGGTTATTAATGAAGCAACAACACACACACACAACCGCAGTAAACACATAGTAAACAGGACACTACCGATGGTTACCTGAAGGCTCTTCTCGTCTCTTGTTCTGGAAAGAGAAACAAATATTATCATTAATGTAAGAAAAAGTTAATTTAGTTTTTAATAATGTTTTATGTCAGTCCTTCCTGAGGTTGATAGTTTACCATATATTGTATTGGTGGAGCATCATTATTACCATCACCAGTCTACTGTGTGTGTGTGGTGGAGCATCATTATTACCATCACCAGTCTACTGTGTGTGGTGGAGCATCATTATTACCATCACCAGTCTACTGTGTGGAGGGTGGAGCATCATTATTACCATCACCAGTCTACTGTGTGTGTGTGGGGAGCATCACTACCATCACCAGTCTACTGTGTGTGTGTGGAGCATCATACATCACCAGTCTACTGTGTGTGTGGTGGTGCATCATTACACAGTCTACTGTGTGTGTGTGGTGGAGCATCATTATTACCATCACCAGCTCCTGTGTGTGTGTGGTGGTGCATCATTATTACCATCACCAGTCTACTGTGTGTGTGTGGTGGACATCATTATTACCATCACCAGTCCACTGTGTGTGTGGTGGAGATCAACCATCACGGCCTACTGTGTGTGTGGTGGAGTCATTCATTACCATCACCAGTCTACTGTGTGTGTGTGGTGGAGCATCATTATTACCATCACCAGTCTACTGTGTGTGTGTGTAGGAGCATCATTACCATCACCAGTCTACTGTGTGTGTGGTGGTGCATACCATCACACGTGCATCATTATTACCATCACCAGTCTACTGTGTGGGGTGGAGCATCATTATTACCATCACCAGTCTACTGTGTGTGTGTGGTGGAGCATCATTAACCATCACCAGTCTAGGTGTGTGGTGGAGCATCATTATTACCATCACCAGTCTACTGTGTGTGTGTGTTGGAGTCATTAATACCATCACCAGTCTACTGTGTGTGTGTGGTGGAGCATCATTATTACCATCACCAGTCTACTGTGTGTGTGTGGTGGAGCATCACTATCACCACCACCGTCTACTGTGTGTGTGTGGTGGTGCATCATTATTACCATCACCAGTCTACTGTGTGTGTGTGGTGGAGCATCATTATTACCATCACCAGTCTACTGTGTGTGTGTGGTGGAGCATCATTATTACAATCACCATGTGTGTGTGTGGTGGAGCATCACATACCATCACCAGTCTACTGTGTGTGGTGGAGCAACATTATTACCATCACCAGTCTACTGTGTGTGTGTGTGGTGGAGCATCATTATTAATCACCAGTCTTCTGTGTGTGTGTGGTGGAGCATCATTATTACCATCACCAGCCTATGTGTGTGTGGTAGACATCATTACCATCACCAGTCAACTGTGTGTGTGGTGGAGCATCATATTACCATCACCAGTCTACTGTGTGTGTGTAGTGAAGCATCATTACCATCACCAGTCTACTGTGTGTGGGACACATACCATCACCATTGTGTGTGTGGTGGAGCATCATTTCATCACCAGTCTACTGTGTGTGTGGTGGTGAATCATACCATCACCAGTCTACTGTGTTTGTGGTGGAGCATCATTATTACATCACCAGTCTACTGTGTGTGTGTGTGGGGGAGCATCATTATACCATCACCAGTCTACTGTGTGTGTGTGTGGCATTATTACCATCACCAGCTTGGTGTGTGAGCATCATTATTACCATCACCAGTCTACTGTGTGTGTGTGGTGGAACACATACCACACCAGTCTACTGTGTGTGTGTGGTGGAGCATCATTATTGCACTCACCAGCTCTGTGTGTGTGTGGTGGAGCATCATATTACCATCACCAGCTCACTGTGTGTGGGTGCATCATTATTACCATCACCAGCTACTGTGTGTGTGTGGTGGAGCATCATTATTACCATCACCAGTCTACTGTGTGTGTGTGGTGGAGCATCATTATTACCATCACCAACACTGTGTGTGTGGTGGAGCATCATTATTCCATCACCAGCTCACTGTGTGTGTGTGTGGAGCATCATTATTACCATCACCAGTCTACTGTGTGTGTGTGTGTGTGGTGGAGCATCATTATTCCATCACCAGTCTACTGTGTGTGTGTTGTGGAGCATCAAATACCACCAGTCTACTGTGTGTGTGTGTGGTGGAGCATCATTACCATCACTAGTCTACTGTGGTGTGTGATGGAGCATTATTATTACCATCACTAGCTCAGTGTGTGTGTGGTGGACATCATTATTACCATCACCAGTCTACTGTGTGTGGTGAGCATCATTATTACTCACGCATGTGTGGTGGAGCATCATATACCACCAGTCTGTGTGTGTGGTGGTGCATCACATACCATCACCAGTCTTCTGTGTGTGTGGTGGAGCATCATTATTACCATCACCAGTCTACTGTGTGTGTGTGAAGCATCATTATTACCATCACCAGTCTACTGTGTGTGTGGTGGTGCATCATTATTACCATCACCAGTCTACTGTGTGTGTGTGGTGAGCATCATTATTACCATCACCATCGTGTGTGTGTGGTGGTGCATCATTACCATCACCAGTCTACTGTGTGTGTGTTGGAGCATCATTATACACATCACCAGTCTACTGTGTGTGTGGTGGAGCATCATTATTACCATCACCAGTCTACTGTGTGTGTGTGTGGTGAAGCATCATTATTACCATCACCAGTCTACTGTGTGTGTGTGGTGGAGCATCATTATTACCATCACCAGTCTATTGTGTGTGTGTGGTGGAGCATCACATACCATCACCAGTTTACTGTGTGTGTAAACATTATTACCATCACCAGTCTAGTGTGTGGTGGAGCATCATTATTACCATCACCAGTCTACTGTGTGTGTGTGGTGGTGTATCATTATATCACTGTCTGTGTGGTGGAGCATCATTACCATCACAAGCTCTGTTGTGTGTGGTGAGCATCATCATACCATCACCAGTCCACTTGTGTGTGTGGTGCATCATTATTACCACATCACCAGTCTACGTGTGTGGTGGTGCATCATTATTACCATCACCAGTCTACTGTGTTTGTGTGGTGGAGCATCATCAACCATCACCAGCCCATATTACCATCCCCAGTCTACTGTGTGTGCATTATTATTACCATCACCAGTCTACTGTGTGTGTGTGTGGTGGAGCATCATTATTACCATCACCAGTCTACTGTGTGTGTGGTGGAGCATCATTACCATCACCAGTCTACTGTGTGTGTGTGGTGGAGCATCATTATTACCATCACCAGTCTACTGTGTGTGTGTGGTGGGCATTACATTACCATCACCAGTCTACTGTGTGTGTGTGGTGGTGCATCATTATTACCATCACCAGTCTACTGTGTGTGGTAATAACGATCACCATCACCAGTCTACTGTGTGTGTGTGGTGGAGCATCATTATTACCATCACCAGTCTACTGTGTGTGTGTGGTGGCATCATTATTACCATCACCAGTCTACTGTGTGTGTGGTGAGAGCATCATTATTACCATCACCAGTCTACTGTGGGTGTGTGGTGGAGCATCATTATTACCATCACCAGTCTACTGTGTGTGTGTGTGGTGGAGCATCATTATTACCATCACCAGTCTACTGTGTGTGGTGGTGCATCATTATTACCATCACCAGTCCACTGTGTGTGTGGTGGTCATCACATTACCATCACCAGTCTCGTGGGACATCATACCAGCCACTGTGTGTGTGGTGGAGCATCATTACAACATACCAGTCATCGTGTGTGTGGTGGAGCATCATTATTACCATCAGTCTACTGTGTGTGTGTGGTGGATCATCATTATTACCATCACCAGTCTACTGTGTGTGTGTGGAGCATCATTATTACCATCACCAGTTCATCTGTGTGTGTGGTGGAGCATCATTATTACCTCACCAGTCTACTGTTGTGTGTGGTGCATCATTATTACCACGCAGGTTTACTGTGTGTTTGTGGTGGTGCATCCATTAATACCATCACCAGCCTGTGTGTGTGTGGTGGAGCATCATTATTACCATCACCAGTCTACTGTGTGTGTGGTGGAGCATCATTATTACCATCAGTCTACTGTTGTGTGTGTGGAGCATCATATTACCATCACAAGTTTACTGTGTGTGTGTGTGTGGAGCATCATTATTACCATCACCAGTCTACTGTGTGTGTGTGGTGGAGCATCATTATTACCATCACCAGTCTACTGTGTGTGTGTGTGGTGGTGGAGCACACTATACTATCCCAGTCTACGTGTGTGTGGAGCATCATTATTACCATCACGAGTTTACTGTGTGTGTGTGTATAACCATAATCACCAGTCTACTGTGTGTGTGTGTGGAGCATCATTATTACCATCACCAGTCTAGTGTGGTGTGGTGGCACAATCAACCAGCACTGTGTGTGGTGGCATCACATTACCATCACCAGTCTACTGTGTGTGTGTGTGGTGGTGATCATTATTACCATCACCAGTCTACTGTGTGTGGTGGAGATCATTATTACCATCACCAGTCTACTGTGTGTGTGTGGTGGGCATTGTACTGTATGTGGTGGAGCATCACCATCACCAGTCTACTGTGTGTGTGGTGGAGCATCATTATTACCATCACCAGTCTACTGTGTGTGTGTGGTGGAGCATCATTACCATCACCAGTCTACTGTGTGTGTGGGGGGGACATCACATCACCAGTCTACTGTGTGTGTGGTGGTGCATCATATACCATCACCAGTCACTGTGTGTGTTGTGGTGGAGCATCATTATTACCATCACCAGTCTACTGTGTGTGTGTGGTGGAGCATCATTATTACCACACATGGTGGTGGAGATCATTATACCATCACCAGTCTACTGTGTGTGTGGTGGAGCATCATATACCATCACCAGCCTGTGTGTGGTGGTGCATCATTATTACCTCACAGTCTACTGTGTGTGTGT